ATATATATAATCGTTCTCACAACCAGTGTGCATGGTAACCGTGCTCGTAGTAAGAATCTATCGTGGTTATTCCGCGAATTTACAGTTTGTATTGAAAATAAAAATCAGAAATGTGGAATATACTGTGGACAGTGTATTCACTGTATACGCGGGAGTTTATTATTATTATACATATTCACCAGTCTACTCACGGCTCACCCACTGTCCATGTAAAGAGTTTTCATAAGTCATATCTATATGGACTAATAATCACGACTAAATCCTCCTATGACTAAAACCTATTATACCTAAACTTTATAACTAAAACTACCTTATGCCTAAAGCTTATGATGAGGGTGAAAGTTGAGACTGGGTCTGGAACTCTGGGTGCGAGGCTGTGAGCCGCGAGGCTTTGGCCTTCTCGAGGGCATGATGATTTGTACCTTGATGCCTTGAGCTTTGAGGCTTCAGCAGTCCAACTCAGACATCAGGCATTTCAGCACTTCAGGCGTCAGGAGTCCTTCAACCTCTCTTGTGTTTAATTATACATGACCGTCTATTTAGTATGAAAAGTAAAAATATGATGGAGAACGGACGCTTAAAGCCATGATTTTCACACAAGTGACAAGGCTCTTACATTTTTACACAAGGCAATGTAATATTCCCGCCTACCTAATATGGGCATAAAAGAAATGCCTAGGCACAGAGCAATCAGCAATCTCAAAATGTTATTACAGAGAGCTTTCTAGAAAATGTTCTTTTTTAGGGGAGGGTTAATTTTATGTATAAAGAAACAGTGTTCGAATTAGAACATAGAACATATTATACGCTATTTGCGAAGAGGGTGCAAGACAAGCGTAGAGAAGTTAGAATATACCAGTCCTTGAATTAGAACGGATTCATCTCAATAACAAAGTATGCCTACAGTAGTCGATATCCTCGCAGGAACATGCGGTGGCATCGCTGTCACGTTCGTAGGACACCCCATGGATACAGTGAAAGTCCGGCTTCAGACTCAGCCACAAGCTAACCCTGTATATAGCGGTGTGGCAGACTGTGTGACAAAGACAATCAAGTGGGAAGGATTTCCAGGCTTGTATAAAGGCGTGATGTCCCCTCTTGTTGGACAAATGTTTTTCCGAAGCACTATGTTCGCTGCATTTGCCGGAAGCAAGGTATTTCTATTACGCGAGCCATTGTGAGTTAGAGCGCGTGTACAAGCAAATGCTATCTCTGACTTATTCAAAATTCATATCTGGTGCTATATGTGCTGTTACGTAACATAGAAATGATGAGCTCGATTTATCAGTGCTCTAGATTTTCAATCGCACTCAAGCCTGTGAACTTCGTTTCAGGAATTTATACGTAACCAGACTGGTAGAGAATTAAGCACTGCAGACTTCTTCATCGCGGGAGGTATGACAGGATTCGCATCTTCATTCGTAGAAGGTCCCATAGATTTCTACAAGACACAGCTACAGATACAGATCATAAGGTGAGGTAGGCGCGCAAGGCACTGTTCCTTCTGCTGACAAGCTGTTTAGAGGGCTAGCTGCAAAGGTATTCCTATCATTTCTTGCTATAGCGGATATTCTCGGTGTCATTGGAGTGTACTTGCGAAATATAAGCTTGATATTCTTCGATTGTTCTGGAGGGATACGCAGTCCTATACACGACCTATGGCCAAAGCGTGTACAGTACTTTAATTAGTTGAGCTCATACGTGGGCACGCTGGATGGGTTAAAAAACCACGTCCAATCTCGGACTTGGGTATAAACCCAAACACCGAGCTGGATCTCAACAATGGCTATAGCCCTAGTCTGCCACATCAAACTTACGATTGTGGGGTGCAGTATATAATCGATCAACAATCTAATTGTGGAAGTGTAAACTTCATCCGTTCGCAAACAGGTCAAAAACGATTGAGGGATACAAACCTGCATATACCGGTTTGCTGGATGTCGCTAAGAAAACCTGGGCGACCAACGGCGTAAAGGCGCCATTCCAGGGTGTGTGTTTTATTTTGGTACGTACGTGCTAGAAGCACAAATGTATCGAATATGCTCAGTTGGCTAGGGACAGCTACGATAGCTACATGACCAGACGTGTAGATAGTTGGATCATATTCGGAAATCACGCGTCTGATGTAGAAATTTTGCTCCAAATTACAGGTTTGACGATGACGATAATAAGAAACGTACCTGCCAATGCCGTATACTTGGGCTTCTATGAGCTGTTCAAGAATACTCTGGCAGAAAGACAGGTGGGTATCGGGTAAAGCCCAAGTAGCTCACTTTCCCGTCACGTCAGTTTGCTTTAGTGTGTGTCACACAAAAGCGATCGTGTACGTACATGTCTGTGCTAGACAAATCCGTCACACATTACTCAAATGATCTCTCCCGTTGTCTCCACAATCTGCAGAAAATCACAGTACAGGAGATACCTTTATTCCAGAACTTCCTGGCCGGAGGGGTCGCGGGGGTGTTGTACTGGGTAGCTGTATTCCCACTGGATGTGATCAAGTCTGCGATAATGGGCGATGCTGTGCGGCCCAGTGAACGCAAGTTCAGGGGCATGGCCGATGCTACACGTGCGCTCATGGCGGAGGGTGGTATATCAAGGTTCTATAGGGGGTTCACCCCATGCATGATTCGGTATGCTTTCTCGCCGGTAGTGAGTCTATCTCTGTTAGACAAAAGCTTTTGTGGCGGTTGCTTCATTTGGTCCCTGGATGTTATGAACGTTCACTTGTGCTGTTGCATGGCATTCGCCTGAGGCGATCTACACAGACACACAGAAGCGCATAGAATCTGTACATTTGCACAGTATATGCAGGCATGTGTTCGAGTGTAACCCTGAGTTTTAACACTACCTTGTGCGCATCTTCTGTCCTGACGCTATTCTTTTCGTCTATTCCTTTTGTGCACTGCAGGGCCATCCCGGCAAATGGAGCCATGTTGGTGACGGTTGACAAAATCCGATATCTTTTTGCCGATAGTAAGGAACCGGTTGCGCTACAACGCCAACCAAGTGAAATGATGCGTGTTTAGCCTTGTTATTCACCACACTGCACACACACCGAAGCATTAGCCGCAGAGCAGAGACAATTAAACATGATACTCAGCGCGTACACAGTATATAGCTACACGGCTTGTGAAACCACCCGTCTTGAGTTGCCACACCAATGCATCAGTGCTAGTACGACAGACTCCTCGTGTATCGCATTGGACTCTTGTATGTACCACACGCACGTGTTAGCCTTCGCTATCGTCGGAATTCCCGATAAAGCACGACAGGCATTCCTCGAAAGCAGGCATCCTGAGGGCGTTGTTCGCCCTCTCCTCGCAACTCTGGTGCTTAGCTGTTGAAGAGTCGAACAAAGGTTTGAGAGCGGCAGATTGTATGGCGTGCAATGAAATAGGCTAATTGTATAGCCGCGTTTTGTCAGTACACACGGGAAGCCTACATTCAGACTGAGAATACGCGCACAAGTACATTGTATATGCATGAATTGCTTACGCTGTGAACGTGTTTTAGTAAGGAGATGATTTTATACAAACACGCATAGACATACATATATAGGCGAAAATGAAAAACACAGCATTGGGACATATCGTTTAAAGCATTCAGTCCAAAAGATATACATGTAAATATACACAACTCGCCAGAAGAGTTGTACCGGGCACACGCCAAGATATTGCTTACGCAGCGGATCAACATATGGGTGAAATCGTCGCATATGGGCATTTACATCTAGAGGACAAAAACGGAGTTTAGCTACACCTAAAATTCTAAAACGAGGTCCGGCTACAACTGCCTCTACACATACCCATTTTACACGTCGGACAGACACGTAGCACCAATTTATCGTCACTCTTCCCGCTGTTGCAATAACCGCATCGTACTATCTCGAATGGCTGCCCCTTTGTCTGCGTTTTTAGGACAAATCCGGAGTCATTGGACTCCCCTGTGTAGCTCACGACGAATGGTTCACTCGGTGCACCAACCAGCCGTACGCGTAGGCTATCTGACATCCTTTGCAGTACCTGTGCCCTATACGACTATTCATGAAGGAAGGTTTCCACATAATTATAATCTTTCAAGTGTAGACAACGAAAGATCATTTGATGTACGCCAGCTATGTAGAGCTAGACATGATGGAAGGATTTTAATTGCACAATGTAAGAACAAGGTACATGAAGCGGTTTGGTGTACTTGGGCCCTGAACGACTACTGCGGGAAGAAAACCCAACAAACACACGTTCGATAAGGGTCAACCCGAACTATTTGATGTCATGAGCTGGATCAAAAAACGTGCAGTATCACACGTTCTGATGTACTAGCGCCTAGTGGAAACACAAGGGGGCGGATTATACATATACATACATACATATATATATATATATATATATATATATATATATATATGTGTGTGTGTGTGTGTGTGTGTGTGTGTGTGTGTGTGTGTGTGTGTGTGTGTGTGTATGTGTG